TAATGAAAACAAAATTACACCGTCAAGTTAGTCAAATCTACCAGAGTCCGTTTCATTTCGGTTCGGTCGGTGAGTCGGTTATGGCTGTTGTATTTAAATTGTCGATGCGCGCTAACCGTATCCGCTGCTGTAAGTCGGTTCGTATTGGTCGGTCAAGTTTTATTAGGGTCGGTAAAGCACGTCAGGAGCCGCACGCGATTTGTGGATGGCGGCATAAACAAGAATTGACAGGCGCGCATGCGCGCAGCGCGATACGAACGAATGCCACGGTAAAACCGGTTTACGAAGACGTTAACCGATTCAACTCGGTCCATGCTCAAACCGGTTTGAAAAGTCAAGTCGTTACATCTCTAACTGTTTCCTTGCACTTCAATTTGTATCCATATATTAAAACTTATTTTGTTCATCACCATTCGATTAATCATAAATTGAAGGTAAATTAAATTTGTAAACTTCTGCGTATTGTGACAGACTGACTGACATTGACATATCGTTTCACCTTTTCTCACGTCAAATTATTTATAAATTTTTCATAACGTAGGCATAAGTTTTAATGTTTCATACAGCCACGTAATACTTTTTATTTTTTATGTCAATTTATTTGACTTAGATCCACAGACTTAAAAGTTGCAAACTGAAATTTTAATAGTATTTTAATGGGTTTTTCAATGTTATTTTGTATATTGGTACCATACATAACTTCATTTACCGTGCTATGTTATCCACTCAACCGGCAGGTGGAGCATATTAAGTATTTAGTGCTTATTTTGTTCCAACTGTTACTTAGTTTTTAACTTTTTATTATCTATTTATTATTATATATTGTATTTATTTTGTGTATGACTAGTTCAGAAAAAGATAGCGATGACTCGTTTCAGACCTTGTCACCGGTTAGTGACTGCACAGATGCTAGTTTTGTTAGTATGCCTTCCCTTTCCGACTGCATCGATGGTGAGTTTTCTGATGTTCCTAAAAACTTTAACGTGGTTCACATTAATGCGCAAAGTATTCCGGCTCATTTTACTGATATGCTAGCGTCTCTCAACCACAAAAACCTTCATGCTGTTTTAGTCTCCGAATCCTGGCTTAAGCCTTCTCTGCCCTCTTCATTCTATACTTTACCTGGTTTCCGTTTGATACGTAATGATCGTATTGGTTCTCGAGGTGGTGGAGTTGCAATTTACTTACGTACTCATATTCCCTTTACTATAATTAGCTCCTCCACACAGCCTCCTCCAGCGAATGCTGGCGAACATCTACTACTCGAGGTTCTCCTGTCACATACCAAAGTCCTTCTCGGAGTCTATTACAGCCCCTCTTTAAATGTTAACTTCTTCAGTTCTTTTGAGCAGCTCTTAGGAGATGTTGTCCCATCTTATAGCCATTCATTGATAATGGGTGATTTCAATACCTGTCTTCTGAAAAATGATTTCCGTTCTGCCTCCCTTAATTCTGTTATTAGCTCTTGTAATCTTCATATTCTTCCACTTAATGCCACTCATCATTTCCCAAACTCATCTCCTTCACTTCTTGACTTAATTATAGTCTCTTCTCCTCATCTTGTCATGAAGCATGGTCAATGTTCGGCTGATGCCTTTTCATACCATGACTTAATTTTCTTATCCTACAAAATTCGTCCTCCCAAAATTAAACCCAAAGTCATTCTTCAGCGTAATTTTGGTGGTATGGATAGGGAAGCGTTTCTTATTGACGCTCAAAATACTGATTGGTCGCCGGTAACTGATGCGGAGTCTGTGGACGAGCAAGTTGAGACCTTTAATTATATCATTACTCAACTTTACGACAAGCACGCCCCTTTTCGTCTCATCAAGCTTAAACATGTTCCTGCGCCCTGGCTTACCCCAGATATTAAAGAACTTATGCACAAAAAGGATGTTGCTAAATGCAAATACAAACGCCGTTCAACAGATGCAAACAAGGTTAACTATGCTAGAGCTCGTAATCACTGCAATTTGGTGTGTAGGGATGCCTTACGTCGCCATATTCATGTTTCCGTCGATAATAAAGATCCAGCAAAAGTCTGGAATTTCCTCAGGTCTCTTGGAATTGGTAAGTCCCGACAAGAATCTATTCCTAGTAGCATTAACGTTGATTCACTCAACCTTCATTTCTCTTCATGTTCTAGTCTCAGTGATTCTAACAGGACTAATACTTTAAAGTTTCTTTCTTCGTTACCAGTTCCTGACTACTCTCCTTTTGTCTTTACTCAATTCACTGAATGTGACGTTAAGAAAGGTATGCTTTCTATCTCCTCCAATGCGGTGGGGAACGATGGCATTAGTCGCAACATGTTGGTACCAATCCTAGATATCATTCTTCCTATCCTTACTTTCCTATTTAACAGTTCGATTTTCAATGCTGTCTTTCCATCAGTTTGGAAGCAAGCTCAAATTATCCCACTCCCTAAAAAATCGAGCCCCCAATCCACCGCCGATTTTCGCCCCATCTCTATCCTACCCTTCCTATCTAAGGTCCTTGAACGCCTCGTCCACAACCAATTTAATATGTTCCTATCTCGCCACAACCTTTTTAATCCTTTCCAATCTGGTTTCCGTCCCGGCCATAGTACTACGACTACCTTGCTCAAAGTGACAGATGACATACGCCTTGGGATGGATAATGGTCTCCTCACGGTATTAACATTGTTGGACTTCAGCAATGCTTTTAACACCGTCAATTTTGACGTTCTTTTGGCATTGCTGCGCTCACTTAACGTATCTCCATCAGTGATTGAGTGGTTTCACAGTTATCTGTATGGGCGCAGGCAGCGCGTTTGCCTTGAGGAGAAATTTTCTTCTTGGAGCGACACGACCGCTGGCGTTCCGCAAGGCGGCGTCTTATCTCCTCTTCTTTTCGCTGTTTTAATCAACTCCGTCTCTAATAATACTTCTTCTTCCTACCACCTATATGCAGATGACCTCCAAATCTATCGCCAAGCATCACTTCGTCAACTTGGAGATGCGGTACGAGCCACTAATAGCGATCTACATACTATATCAGAGTGGAGCAAATCCTTTGGATTGCAACTGAATCCCTCTAAAACTACTAGCATAATAGTAGGTAGTTCTAGGATGATAGATAGAGTAGAATGGCAGTCTTTACCCAATATCCAGCTGGCTGGTGAAATTGTCCCTTTTAGCGCATCGGTAAAAAACCTGGGGTTGACTTTCGATAATTGTTTGAGCTGGGGTCCACAGATGCAAGTGGTCAGCCGCAAATTGTTTGCTTCAGCAGCTTCGCTTAGAAGACTACGTAATTTCCTACCCATCACTACTAAAATTACACTAGCACAGTCGTTGTTGCTTCCCATTCTTGATTATGCTGACGTCTGCTATCTTGATCTTACCGAGGACCAGCTAAATAAGCTTGAGCGACTTCAAAACTTTTGCATCCGCTTCATATTTGGCTTGCGCAAATATGATCACGTTTCTCAATTTCGTTCGCAACTCAAGTGGCTACCTATTCGTCTTCGCCGGAATGCTCATATTCTTGCTCTCCTTTACAATATATTGTTTAATCCTAAGACCCCGCGCTATCTCCAGGAATGTTTTAATTTCCTTCACACTTCTAACACGTTATCCCTTAGGTCATCAGAAAATCTTACTCTCATGACTCCTGTACATGCTACAACATTTTATAACCGTTCGTTTGCAGTGCGTGCCGTACATTTGTGGAATTCTCTCCCAGTTACCATACGACGTGCAGAATCTATCCACGCTTTTAAAAACCTCGTAAAGTCCCATTATTTGTCCTTATAACTTTTGATGTTAATCTTATTTGTGACTACTACCAACTGAACTAGATTTGTTTATTTATGTGTATGTATGTATTTATTTAATATATTTAATATATATTTATATTTATGTATGTATATAATTGTATATATTATCACCTATATCACTCAAGTGATTTACACCGCCGTCTCTCCCACTTCCTTCTAGTCCTCTCCATCCAAAGGTTGTCTGGAAGAGATCGCTCTAAGCGATAAGGCCGCCCATTGTTACACTAGTTTTAATTGGTTATGTACTAAATTTAATGTTATATGTGGTGTACAATAAAGTGTTTTGTATTGTATTGTATTGTATTGTACCCTGTCGTGGCCAATGCACAAACCGTGCGTGCCATTATAATAATAAAAAAAAAACACTCAGGGTAGCTTGCTACATTTAAAGTAGAGGTGTGTAACGAAAAAAAGCGTACCCGTATGTATTCGTTACTTTAACAATTAGTACTCGTTACGTTATTCGTTACTTCTCATAAAAAAATCGTTTTTACTATTTTGAAATTTTTAACCGTGAGCTTATGTTATATCACAATATTCACAATAACATCGTAATCCATTATTCATCAATTAAAATGATAAAGCAACAAATAGGTGTGTGATGATAATAATACATAAATAGCATTCTAACGATAAATCAACATAAAAATAGTTTTGCTTAGAATGAAATTAAACATAACCAAAGAAAGAACTACAACAAAAATCTTTTGTTCTCTAAATAAAATTATAAAAAAAATAAAAACATTTTAAACGAAATCTATCAAGTTGGCTTTTTCGATAAGCTTCTGTAAGGTAAGGTAGTCAAGACGACAATAAAGTTCTCACGTCCATTTGATCGGAATAGCGTATAACACAAAATAACACCAATTTTATTTCACAATATCCACTATGAATGAATTTAAGAATAATTAAAATAGGACGCCAACCGCACTCGATGAAATCCGGCCAAAAACGTTTTTAAATTCTCCGAATATGCTCGCGCATGCTTATAACATACGATCAGCAAATGTTTCTATACAAGTATACACACATCAACTGTACTTGCGTAAACTGAAACATATAGATAGTCATACTACGAAAAATGCGAATAACGAAATTTATTTGTGTGTAACGTTTCGTTACTCGGTACTAGATGGCGCACCCGTTACTCAGTACCGAATACATACGGTTTGCTACAGCTCTAATATATAGTGATCTGTGGTATCACGTTAGCATGTGGAATTTCATATGATTGTTAATGGTTTACTCTGAAATATCCACATGTTACAACGTTTGTAAAATATTCTGAGTACTTTATTATTTCATATTTAATTAAATATGGACGAATTAGTTGTTGGCACCTATGAGGGATTTTTGTTAGGTTATGCAATACACTTGGAAAATGAAGTAAGTGTACCCATTCCCTTGTATTTCTCTTTCATTATTCAATCTAAATGGGTGCATTTTTAATTGTTTGGTTATAAATTAACTATCAAGTAAATAATTATGTCATTATGCTATCGGCTTCTTTATGCCTTCAGCAATAAGTTGCCAAAAATCAAGGCATGATTAAATATTATGTGAATCCAGAATTAAACGTATAAATACCTATCAAACGGTTTGGTTTTATTAAAGCAGTCAAATATTTGTTCTTAATTTCAGTCCATAATTTCATGTTCAATAAAATCTATTTCTGTTTTTAGGAGAAAAAGCTGAAACAAACATTTGCCGCTCAGTCACATACAGCATCTGTTCGTTGTATTTCTACTGCAGGAAAATTTCTTGCATCAGGCGGTACAGATGATAAGGTGGTAGTCATAGACTTAAAGACCCGTAAAGAACATACTGTCCTTATGAACCACGATGGTACAGTCAATGTTTTAGCATTCACAAATGGTGCCACTCATTTGCTCACTGGCAGTGATGATGGCAAAATCATAGTCACTAGAACAGGCAATTGGCAAATTGAAAAGATCTGGAAGAAAGCTCATGGAGGTAAGGAAGTATTAAAGAAAGACAAAAACATTTTCAAGTTTGTAATTGTTAATTGAATTTTCAATATGTACAGTAAACCTGCGGTAATCTAGACCTGGGGTCTAATCTCTTTCTCCAAAACGAACTTTCGATAATGAAGTTCAAATGAAATTTAATTTTGTCAATTTAAGGTTATACTGAATTTGAATGATAAACTATCAAATTGAAGCTTTCTTCGAGTAGGCTTAAAAAATCTACATCTCAATCTATATTCCGCTGATGAATTTTATTATAATTGAAAATGAACCAGAAACATAGTAAGAATAGTGTGAAATTTTGAACAATATTTCGTTTTTCGTTGAATTAGAGTAGGCCTCCAGTACTTATCCTGTGCCCACTGTAATCTGACGGGCCTGTAATTGTACATAAACATCAATTCAAATAGATTTCTTTATAAGTTATGTATCAGATTACTCAAAAAATCCAGACTATAGAGGGTGGTCTTAAGCAAAACACTATAATCTAAAAAATTCAATGACCCAACTTAACCTTTACCCTGCAAAACATTTGTCAGATTACTTAAGGTGTACTGTATTTGGATCAGACTCATTATAACACAGTTATACCAATATATTTTCATATACATATGATTATTTGTTGATGTTTATTTAAGTATATAGTATTATCAAACAACACTAATAAATGTAAAAGTTTGTATGTTTGTTATGCAAAAACAGTGGGTTTCAATGAAAGGACAATGCCAGAAGTTCTAAAGAGGTTTAACCCACCTGATAAAATTGGTGTACACGAATGCAATAAATGACATGTGATAGCTGTAATATTAGGAATCAAAATAGTAAAGTTGTAAATTCTCTAGAAGTTGTGGTTATTGAATAATATACTAACAAAGAATACAATTATCATATGTTTCTCGAGCTGCAATTTGAGCAGAAAATTGGAATTGCTTTAAACTATTAATTAGGTGATTTCATAACTTATATGAATAGGTAGTTTCTAGGTACCTATTCGTTTGTTTTTTGATTGATATCAGTCTGTGAGGGTTTCCGAGTTTATTCTTGACAGGCAAACATTCAAATAGTTCTCTTCATGGTTTAAATAATTGTTATAATAACGAATATGAAATATATATGTTTGCTACATGAGACAGTATTACACATACAAGCAACAATGTGTCCCTTTATAGAATCTTCTAGATGTAGCTAAACCTCAAGCTAACAAATAGTGCCATAGTGAAGTATTGAGACTATTCTAGTAGTGTATTATTATTACTAATACTTTGCTTGCGCTAGAGCAGAGGTTATACATTTGTCATTGTTTAAAAAATAAATCACTCATTTTAACTTTATATCATTTTCTCATCTAGTGATATCAATATATTATCTAAGAACTCTGCGGGTGTATCTATTCAACAGTGTCCACATTGTAGCTGATAGAGTACAAACGACATGCCTTCGCATTTTATCTATACATAAATAGCAATATATGCGTGTCAAAATGGTTCCAAACCACAATCAATAAATTGGTATCCTAAAAACAAAGCCACAAGGTCATATAAAAGTCGTGATCGAGTCCGCATTCGAAAGCAAAAGTCGTAATTATTTTCGAAAACACCTGTTTCGTCTTCGTTTCATTTCGTTCACTTTGTCGCACCACACCACAGTCATAAGAAAAAGGAAATGTGATGCAGAATGGCGTTTAGTTTCACATAGGCACTACCACTAAATAACCACAAATAAATAAATACAGCGAGATCTTCAATGATGTGAACATGCATTAGGGGGACCAAACTATTACATTACATTTGATAAACCACAGACCCTTGCAACTGAACAAAGATTCATTCCTAGCATGATACACAAAGCTATTGAGATTAAGAAAAATCCAAATTTCAATAGGGAAGATGGTTGGTATATACTACCAGCTTGGGAACCCATTATACAACAGATGAAATCCCAACCTCGAACACACACTGCAAGACCAACAGATACTATTAGTTCTTTTTGTTTGCATGATTTAACATAAGAAGAAGATAGAAAGCCTCTCTGAGTTTGTTTGGCCAGTTCTTCTCAGAAAGGTCTCCCAATTTTAGAACCGGTGGTAGTTTAAGGTAGTTAGGGTCCTTTGCAAAGTTATGCGTTCAGCCCTTCAGTTTGTGGAAAAATGGTGTGACGAACATCACTTGTCAGTAACCCCGAACAAGACAGAGCTAGTCCTTTTCACTAACAAAAGGAAGCTATCCAAACTACAGTTACCAAAACTCTTTAATACCAAATTCTCCCTATCAACACAAATGAAATATCTGGGCGCAATCCTCGATAACGAACTTGGCGAGATTTTGCACAAACTCTGTCCTGGTAATGGAGTGCCACAAGGCACATCAATCCATTGCGGTAAGCAACACGGTTACTCTGCAATGGATAAAAGGACGCAGCAGCTCAATTGAAAATTACGCAGCAGACGAACTGGCTAAGAGGGGAGCAGACACAAAAGTGTATGGTCCGGAATCTTTGCTGCCCATACCTCAGGCCCAAATTAAAACGTGGCTGCGTGAAATAACTCAGAAATCACCCTTGACAGAGTGGAAAACAGGTATAGGATGCCGGCAAACGAAAAACGCGGTTCCGGCGCACTATGGGAACCCGCCTAAGAAAGCCATCTCATAAATGCTTTTTTCGTAACTGTGATTCGAGGCATGTATTATACATCAAATTATAGCTAAAGAGTTACTTTATTATAATCAATATAATTTAAGTCTCTGACTCTTCGTATTTCATAAAGAAGAACATCTAAAGTCAGAGAATGAAAAAAATACAAAAATAATAATTAGATTTCAGTTGTATAATTTTATAGGATCATAACAAAAGAAGTCATGTAAGTGTGAAACCATTTTAGAAAGCTTGTCTTCTTTTCTATAAAATTTAAATATATGCAGTTTTTTTAATATTATTCAATTAAAAAAAGTCCATATCATAATGTGGACTAATTTCGTTTCTTAAACTTTCAGTTGGAATTTTGACACTTGCCGAAGCTTGCCGAAGTTCTGTTTCTTGTGTTATTTCTTAGATAATATAATATTATTTGACGGCAACAATTTTTTTCTGCTGTATAAGTGCATAACATTGTCAAATGTCTTAGAATATCAGTGTGTGAAAACATATATTTTTAGGTACGTTTAATAAGACTTTCCTGATTTCGGGTTTCTCAGCACGGATATTTAAATAAAGGCTCTTGGCCCTTTTGTTATATTATTTTTTATCTTATGCTATACTAATATCGTGTATTTAACATAATATTTACATCCCATTCCCATAAGAATCATGGAAAATCGCAAAACCGCAAAATTGTAAAATAGCTTATATCTACTAATTTTGCACACGTCTTTCATAATTTTTCGGTATAATGTATTTGAGAATAGTGTATTTGAGTATGAAATATTACAGTTCTTCATTAGTTCTTGTCGTAAATAATTGTTTTTTAAATATCTTGCCGCAATGTGTCAGTTCTCGTGTACCAGACGCAACCTAAGTCTCTTATTGTTTGAAAGTGATTCAAATTATGGTGTTTTCATCTCTAACTATATACGAATCAATTTCACCGAATCTTCAGATGCAAATATTGCTAAAATTATCGCAAGTATTCAGAAGTCTTTCATAACTCAGTTTCGTCAACGCTGTATTAAAGCAGGTCGATAGAAAGAACATATCTTAAGCCAAAACAGAAATTGGAGATGGGATTTAATTGAGCACAACTGTATGTTAATAAATATAAATTGTACTATGTGCCATCTTCCGTGCACAAGGTTTTGATTCGTGGTGAAAGTGTCATACGTCATTTTTCGGTATTGCCTCTTGGGCAACTTTTAGAAGATGCTCAAGAGTCACGGAACAAAAACTACAAACAGTTCAGGCTTCATAATGCAAGAAAATGTTCGAGGATAGCTACCAACGAAGATGTTCTACACACTATTGTATACCTCTGATCCGTAAATTACAAGTTTGAGAAAACCTAATACTAAAAAATATTTAGAACTTTTTGATGAAGAAAAGAAGCTCTTAAGTGGCATTTGAGCTACTATGATGTTTGTTTTTAATTTTAAGCAGATACATTTACTAGTTACCTTTATAAACTTATTAAAACACTAGCTGACCCAGCGAACTTCGTACCGCCCTAAAAAAAATAGGGGCTGTCCAGCGTACATTTATTAGTTACCTTTATAAACTTATTAAAACACTAGCTGACCCAGCGAACTTCGTACCGCCCTAAAAAAAATAGGGGCTGTCCAGCGGACAAAATTGTGAATCTAAACCATTCTCAGATCCCCTTGAACACACACAAAAAAATTCATCAAAATCGGTCCAGTCGTTTAAGAGAAGTTCAGTGACATACACACTCACAGAAGAATTATATATGTTACCGGCCAAACCCGATTTCAGGACAAACTAGTTTTGCCTAGGCTAAACTGGTTCTTCCTATGCGCGATAGGATTAACTAGTATAGCCTAGTCCAAACTAATTTGTCCTAAGCCCGATAGGATAAACCAGTTTAGCCTAGGCCAAACTAGTTGATCCTGATAAAAATACGCATACTCTAGGATAAACTAGTATGGCCTAGTGTAAACATTATAGTATATCTAGAAAGTCAAAATAAATAGATAAACTGAATAAAATAATCCGTAATTGGAAAAATAATATTTTTTATTAAAACCATAATGATTCATCGTTACAAGTTATGGATAATTAGTAATACAAAGAAAAGTAAGAAAAGTTTAATTTTTCTAGTAAACTTTTCTTTAGATTTAAACACCTAGCAGTTAAATGCTTAAAAATAAATAAAAACACTAACTATAATTGCTATTTCTTCTTTCAAATGTTTAATACTTGAAAAAGTATTCATTTGACATTGTGGGTTGCGTGGTTGCAACCTACAATGCGAAGAGATGGCGCTGCCTTGCAGCTTAAGGCTAGGAAAATTTGGACGCGGCGAATAGGGCCGTGGTAGCATAATGGTCAGTGCATTCGCCCGGATTGCGAAGGGTGCGGGTTCGAGTCCGGTCCGCTGCCTGGTCTGCGTGGTTTTTTTTTTCTAGTAAACTTTTTTAAAATATTTTGAGTTTACAGTGAGATGAATTGTAAAAGGTTCGAATGATTCGGAATTTCTTAAGCCGGGTAGTTACTCATTGGCGAGCTGTAACCATAACCGTTGCACGCACTGTAACCAAAAAGCATAGTGTGTACGTGGTTCGATAACCTGCTGCGAGAACGGTACGCGTGCGGTTTGAAGCGAGCCAACGTTCACAACTGAGCTACTAGCGTACACACTAGAACTTCGTACTGTATCACGCATGTTACGGTAACAGATCGCTAATGCGTACCCGGCTTTACTGTCTTCCGAACTCCCGGCAACAACAAAAGAGTTAAACAAAAACCAATTACAGAAAAAACACTCCCTCCACTTTCTTCCAGCGTTCTTTTTACATGACGCGCCCTGTACAAGTCCTGACATGTTTGTTCAATTACTTTCCGCTTTGCTAAATTGGTTTAGACTAGGTCGTACTAGTTTATCCTAGAGTGTGCGTATTTATATCAGGATCATCTAGTTTGGCCTAGGCTAAACTGGTTTATCCTGTCGCGCTTAGGATAAATTAGTTTGGACTAGGCTATACTAGTTAATCCTATCGCGTATAGGAAGAACCAGTTTAGCCTAGGCAAAACTAGATTGTCCTGAAATCGGGTTTGGCCGGTAACATATATATAAAGTCTAAAAATCGTATATGTTTTGTTTTCCTATTTTTTGTAAGTATTATAAATAAACTTTTATACACAAATTATACATTATTTAAAAGCAAATATATTCAAGATTGTCAGAAAAAAAAATCATGATGATATCTTTATCAACACAGGAGTTTTAGATTTTTTAGATGAAAATGAGTCAAAGTTCCCATAGTGCGGCGGCAAACAAAAGACTTGCCCGCAGCCTTACCAGACTAGATAGGGACAAACTTCGCAAGATTATAGGAACCCTGACTGGTCATTGTCCTCTAAACAAACACCTATATACAAAAAGAGTAACAGACGGCCCCCTATGCAGAGGTTGTATGGAGGCAGATGAAACGCCACAGCATGTCATTATGGAATGCAGGAGCGTGGCTGACCAACGGGCACGACTTCTCCAGTCGCCAGAATCGTTTCCGGAAGCTTGCAGCAGTTTACCAAGGATGCTTTCCTTCTGGACCAATATATGCTGGCGGGAGTAAACGGGAATGTTTTTGAGACACTGTGCGATGGTCCAATAATTAGTACTAAGTGCGGAAACCGCCCTGAAAAACTAAACTAAAAGGTAGTTAGGGTCAAATAAATAAACTCAAAATTAAATAAAGTAACTCAAATTATATAAATAAATTAGCTAATAAATTCAATGAAATATCTGACCGCTCAATAAGGCACTTTGCAGACGACGGGGCGGGGCGGGCCGGTCAGCTCAGTCCGCGCCACGCGCTTATTAGTGATGGACTATTCACTAGAACGAACGTCCTAAACTGACCGCCTCTGCCCGTCGTGTGCTTTGTGTACGCGGCGCGGGCAGCCGCAGACATCGACGGGCAGACGCGGTCTTTATTGCTTCGCAGACAAAATGCCCGCCGCGCCCCGTCGTCTGCTCAACGCCTTAAAGTCTTTCAAAGGTAGCTAGACAAAATAAATAAAAAAAAACATTATTCTGACGACGCATTCCTGCAAAGGATGCGAAACGTCAATAGTTAAATAGAATCAGTGCATCTTACCCCTTGAAACTTGTTTTATTTAATGAGTGATGTGCATGAAAACCTTAGAAACAAATAGAAATCACTTATTTTTGTCTCAAAATTTACTTACATATGAAAACATGAAAATAGAAACATATGCATTCCTAAAATAATTTTTTATCTCATTTAGGCATTACAATGTATTTGTCATTGTATGGATAATGTATTAATTGTATTTATTACATCCTTATTAAAAATATAAAGTAAAACGTCTTCCAACTTTTAATTTATTTATTGTATTTGTAATATATGTACTGCAATATCATTGTTGTATGAATCACCAACTAACTAACTATATTTAACATTTCAGGTCATCCTGTCACGGCTATTGCTGTCCACCCTTCTGATAAACTAGCTCTTAGCATTGGTGGTGACAAAACTTTGAGAACATGGAATTTAATCAAAGGGAGACCAGCATTTGCCATTAATCTTGCAAGTAAAGGAATACATATGCCGACTGAAATTAAATTCTCTCCTGCAGGTGATAGATTTTCATTAGTATATCAACAATGTGTTGATATTTGGACTTTAAGCAAAGCAGGAGTGGAGAAACATATAACTTGTAATTCAAAACCTACTTCTGTTCAATGGATTTCTGATGAAAGATTATATATTGGGTTAGAAAATGGAAATATAATCACAATTACAGTTACAGACACAAAAGCATTAACTTACAAAGCTCACAAACACAGAGTAAAATGTTTGCATTATGAGAGTGATATGTTATATTCAGCATCTAGTGCAGGTGAATTAAAAGTCTGGTCTATTTCAGACTTTAAGTTAAATGAAATTTGTTCAAATAATGCTGGATGTCGAATTACATGTGTAGCATTAAATAAACAAAGTCATCTCATTAAAAAAGAAAAGGAGTTTGATGAAAATGAAAGGATAAATGAACAAGAAAGAGAAGCAATTGTTGAAACTGATGAGGAATCAGAGGATGATAACGATTCACCAAAAGCAAAAAAACGAAAAGCAGGTGCTTTTGTCACTGTCAGTTATGATGGAGAAAGTGAGGAAGAAAAGAGAAAAGAGGCACCACCTGTTAAAAAGAAGTTAAAGAAAAGAAGAAGAAGCAAGAAATCTAAAAATAGAGATGATAAATAGATTTTTACTGTAAATGTTGAAAGAATCTTTTACTTAGTCCACTAACAACCTACTAATATTATAAATGTCAAAGTTTATATGATTGTTACTCAGTCACACAAAAACAACTTAGTGGATAAGAATGAAATTAGGTATGCATAGTTAATGACCTGGGCTTAGACAAATACTTTTTCTCCTGGAAATTTTTCAGATTCCTGAGGGATTCTCAAAAAACTAAAGTTGTCGTGGGCGGCCTGGCTGGCTAGTAAATATTTTTATTTGTTGATGATGAGCCAAAATAAGGATCTCGATGGTTCAAGTGGTAAGCGGTTTCGGTCTGCGATCGTGGAAGTTAAGGAAGACCGAAGTCGCTATTCTGTTATGACCAAATCCTCTATCCTATGGGATGAGTGACAAAAAATTTATTATCTTTTGCTCCTCCATACTTCGAAAGACACCAATTGTTATTTCAACTTACGTCTGCAGTTGTTAGCACCTACCAATCGGAACTCAGCCCGTATTGTAAGCCATAGGCCATGGCCTATCTCCTTATGCAATCCAGAAGGAAGGCCTGTGCCCCTGCAGTGTGGGCATTAATAGGCTAATGATGAATTCATAGTTCTTTTAAACTCATTTTCATTTACCTACATTTTTGCGAACAAAATGCTTATTTTGCAAATCAAACTGTTGTCTCATTGCATCTTACAGTTTAACTTTAGATTAAATCGTTAATCGAATTGCTAGCACCGACTCCTAACAATATGAAAGAGTAATATAAGTATGGAGTCAATGCTTTGAAGTTGTTTGAGTCATTTGACTCGCTATTTACAAAAACAAATGATTTAGATGTTATTTATTAACTTAAACAATAGGTGTAATTCAGAAACAGGGTATAAATAATGAAATAGAAAACAATTATTATAAGTTATTGATATTCTTAAAAAAAATGGATGCGTGTAACTTATGTACGCGCGTGAGAAGTTATACTTCTTTAGCATCATTAAAATATTTTTTAATTGCATGCAAATAATTAATGAAATGTCATTTCATTTCAATGTCCCGTTCAAATCTGCCCTGTTTGCTTTGTTCAAATCTGCCCCACGGTCACTTGGAAAATAAAATATTACAAATAACGCGCCCGCGGCTAACTTCATTATGTTAAAATTTTGTGTTACAGTGATGAAAATTTCACTCTCATAAGTTTTTCATAACGCGGCTAAAGAAGTATAACTTCAAAAACGGTTATGGTAATACATCCGTTTTGAGCTTGATTCATTAGTTTAAGCCGCGCCAATAAACGAATCAAAAATGGCGTCTATACCTGCACTAACAGATGCTAGGGTCAGAAAAAGTTGTTTATTAGGTAATGTCGAGACAGTGCGAGAACAAAGAACTATATGTTATAACCATGATGTCTGAAAACATTACGAACCTTAAAACGCCTACTGACATGCCTGCCGCAGGGACAATCTAGGGTGCACGGCGGTCGGGGTCGGGGCAATATCGGCTTGTCTCTACACACATGCCTGTTATTCAGCGTTCGGAGGTATGTTGAGCTAAACACACGCGTTGATGATGGTCCCAGTGTTATGAACAAATCAGAAGATCGGTAGGCAAGGCCTTGGCTTTTTCTATGGTGTTACCGCAAAAAAGGAAATACTGGGTGAAGAATAAGCAACAGAAAGAAATGTATTGTAAATAAGTAATTTAAATTCACGCAGACCTGGCAGAAAATGGGACTCGAACCCGCACCCTTCGCTATCCGGGCGAATGCACTGATCAATTATGCTACTGCGGCCCTGACGGCCGTATCGAATTCTTTCTAGCCTTAAGCTGCAAGGTAACGCCATTTCTTCGCATTATAAGTAACCCACAATGTCAAATTAATACCTTTACAAGTATTAAACATTTGAAAGAAGAAATAGCAATTAAAGTTATAAATTAATTTTTTTAAGCATGTTTCTGCTCAATGTTTGAATCTAAAGAAAATATTACAAGAAAAAAAAATTGTGTGTCAGCTCCGACGCACGACTGGAGTTTACTCCTTAAGTTCGATAGTCTAACCAGACGCAAAAAGAGTTTATTTAACTTAAAAAAGATTGATACTGTATGAAAGGGTAAATTAACAAATTAATGAAAATAATATACATTTATAAATATATATTTATTCATTTCATATACATTTATTATAACTAATCGACGAAATATTTTAAATTAAACTTTTGACAATAGTCAATTTCAGATGCGCATAAATATATCATTAGGAATGTTGACAAATTATGTAATTATTATTATCATTTTTTTAAATGTTAATTAAATCAACATTGTCTGCATTATTAATTACAGTGACAAGTCGTTTATGGTAACTAAAATAAGACACATGGACGTTCGTAGATACGTGGTTCACGAATCTTGAAAATACCGCATCAATGGTTGTACCATACCTCGTTGTCCCCATTGCTCTATCAGAAACAATATCTAAATTCAGTTAAGATTTAAAAAAAAATATTAATGTCAATCCGTCATCTTTGTTTGTCAAAGTTGCGCGACATAGGATGCGCACCAAAAACGTAACGAGGTCATTCATCGATAGATTTTACTCCTCACATTTTTCTCATACCGGGCTCCTTATATATGCAAATCGATTCTTAAGGAGTAAGAGATCAATAAATTGTATTAAAAATGAGACTACAATAAAAAAAGTATTTCATCGGAAATTCCAAAATATCGATATTTCGTAGACTAAATTTGAACACAATAATATCAATTAATTTACCTGCTATGACTATCTAAATTGAATAATATCAAAATAACTATTGCTTTGAAATCGCAAGAGCATATAGATGTATTAAAAACATATCTTGAACCGCAAGAAATATACTAAACTGGTGTGGATTCTAGCATGATTCTCTAAACCTAAAATTAAATTTGACAATAGTGTATCCTTGCCTCTCTTTCTAGATAATTCTCAACTACTGATTAATTGAAATTTAATATCATTGTAATATAACACAAAATAAAATTAAGAATCTTATTCAAATCGTAAATTTTTTAAGCTCGTCAAGTCAAGAAAGTAAGTTAGGTATAGTAATTTTGGAAGCTTTGGGCTTACCCTATTCTGAAGCCATGGGCACGCCCCTGATATGTGGGAGACTAAGCAATTGCGTATTTGATGTACGCTAAAAAACCGACATAGCTTGGAAAAGCACGAATGAAGTGAAAACTTAGCGAAGGCATTCGCAAATGTCGTCCCACATATGCGGGTTGGCGCATTCGTGCTAACGAATGTGAGTGATCTGATCAGGATAATAATTTTATTTTTTTTGGTTTCCTGTCGTGGCTGAAACACAAACCATGCGAGCCAATAAAAAAAATCCTGCTTGGCGCGATTTCATCAAGCGTGTTTAACGAAAAAGCTGGCTCAATGCATTTTGCGAGAAACTCGCCAACAAATATATTAATGTGTCACACTCACCCCGTATTCTAATGTCAATAAAAAGGAAAAAAAAATCGAGTTAAAATGGTCGATATATCGGATACCGATATCTTCCTGACTTCGATATAAATATCAATATTTCAAAAGACTTTGCATCCCTAAGCAGGGTTAAGAAAAACTTTCGCGATAAGTGCTTCTATATTCATTAAGTTAATTCTAAAATATAAATCAAGAAACAAGAGAAGATCGCAATTCGCAAACATGAAGCAAGGCACTAAATCACAGATCACTATATATGTAGCAAGTAGGCTTGTTGAAAATATATCGATATTTTTAGTCGTTATATTTTGATTCGATATATCGATACAAAAAAGCCAATATCGAAATTCGTATCAAAATCGATATTTTTTTAAATATTAGCGGCATATCACGATCCAACTAAATTCGTATCTGGAAAAATCGTAACTGGATCTCAGATTAAAGATATTCAACATATATATGATCTGTGCTGTATTAAGTACTGTCTATGATTTGTAAATCTGTTTCGCTGGTGAATTGGTTGTGCTGATTTCCAATAAATTCTGTGAAAGTGTGTGACTGTCTAGTCTTGTTTACGAAAGATGGCACCTGAGAGGTCCTGCAATCATTTTCATCATTCGAAAATAGGGTCTATTTTAGGTAGATAATTTTCGTTCCATTATTATTCCGCGTGTCATCTTTCGTGAGATACTGTACTGTCATGTAGTGTAGCGGCAATTTGGTTCTTTGATAATTCTTTCTTTAATTATAATTTGTATTGTTATTATTACTGAGCTAAGCTGATCGATCTAATTTTTGGGAAAATTGGTCCGATATATCGATATATTGATGTTTTTTTCGGGATATATTTTCCAACTTTGCTAAAAACATCAGTCTCCTTTTCATTCTGTATAGAGAATGACAAGGATATACTGCTGTCAAATTTAAGTTTAGGTTTAGAGAATAATGCTAGAATCGACACTAATATTCGAATATTCGAATTCGCGTTACTTCTAAAATTATAGAAACTGGCAAAAAAAATGAAAAAAATATAGTGGTGTCGATTCTAGCACGATTCTCTAAATCTAAACTTAAATTTGACAACAGTGTTTCCTTGTCATTCTCTATACAGAATGAAAAAGAGAGACTGATGTTAAATTTAGTTTTAAGTTTAGAGAATAACGCCAGAATTGGCACCAGTATGTGGTTAAAATATTTACTTTATTTTAGAAATAAATATATTTTTGCTGCTCTTTGCCTTACTTATATTATAATAAAAATTTCTAATATTTTTTAAGAAAGCTTTTACTTTATAAAATATGCTTTAAACAAAATATGGTAGTGTCGCCTACTATACATATTTTTTAGAAATATTGTATTTGAACCCTAATATAGCTGGATACTGGTGTCGACTCTGGCATGATTCTCTAAACCTAAAATTAAATTTGACAGTAGTATATCCTTGTCATTTTAAATACAGAATAAAGAGGAAAGACTGATGTTAAATTTATTCTTAAGTTTAGAGAATCATACCAGAATCGATACCACTATATTTTATAGTAGGGTTGGCAACACTATCTGCAGTCCGAGCGGCGCTGGTGAATTCAGAATCTGAAACAAGAATGACCTAAACATTCCGGTAAATTCTCTGACTCCGAACCTTGCGCGGGCAACCAGTTCCCAACCATAGACGTACTTTACAACCAGGGCTGTACGGCCACAGTGCACGCTCGTTCAGGATTAGGTTCAGACTTAGATCGAACGAAATAAACAGTGTAGTATAAGCAGGTTGCCTGCTGCGGTACAGCCACAGTGCACGCAGGTTCAGAATCAGACTCAGAAAACAAGCGTGATGTACAGCTCTGGTTGTAAAGTACGTCCATGGTTGGGATCCTTCCAGTTCGTGCACAACAATAAATACGAATGTTTGCACGAGTGACCAGTAATGCCGGCACTACACATGGCTATTCGTATTTGCTATCTGTAAACTTTAGAACAGTCTATCCATTTTACTCTATAGAGAATGCAAAAGACAACCTGCTGAAAAAATTACATATACAAACACGAATAGTCTAGTTGTTGTTGCCCTTGTTTAGCCGAACCATTGATAGTTGAGCTCGGATAATAATATCGATAGTTTGGTTTTGGTAATTGACGATTAGTATTTAGTACGTCCATAGTTAAAGTAAAATAGCGTCAAGCACAATATCAAAATTACTATCAATAGTATCGATATCTTTGGGCTATCAGACCAGGTGGCAACTAAAGGGGAAAATTGCATAACCATCGATGTTTTTCAGAACAAATATCTTAGTAGCGTTATAACACTAAATAGCTCTGTAATTATTACGTGCATATTCTGTCAAAAGCAGTTAGCGGATAGACCTACAGGTACTCCGTCTTCAATGTTGCGGCCGCAAATGAGAAAAACTTGTCAAAAGAAACCTATCAAGTTCCGTCAAGCGCAAGCGTATCAGTCGCCTCAATTTTTAGATTTCTAGTACATAGAATTATTATAAAAAGTCATTTATATATGAAATTGATTGCATTTTATTAGATTATATTAGATTACAAAACTGAGAATATTTTGGAAACTATATGCTGGCATCTGTATCCTTAGTACGAGTTTTACTACATGCTGGCATCTATATGCTTAGTACGAGTTTTACAATCACGAAAACTATGATAGTTTTCGTGAGTTCGCACTCGTACTAAGGGTACTGATTTTATTGTTTTCGTTTCAATACAAATAAGTAGTGTTTAAATTCTATCATTAAATCATTTGCGTCTTCTTAAATTTTAAGTATATTTGGTTACTTTTCACCAAAATTCACATAGAAACATAATTTACAATTACGAAAACTATGATAGTTTTGTGAGGTCAAACTCGTACTAAGGGTACTGGACTCTTTTCACTTGAACGGCCATATATTACTTCTTTTGTCTCAACTATCGATAGACTATCGATAGTGGACTATCTTACGGCTAGGCAACACTAAATATGGTGAAGGAAGGAGAAGAACAAGCGGTCAGAGGACAGAAAAATAAAAAAGTGGTTTTATTTTATTCATGAATGAAGTTTTGTGTATCGTACAGGGGCAGTACTTCATAAATTTTTACACCGAATTGTACATGGAAAAGTAACAGCTTCATTTTAATGCTTCTCGTTACCTACATCAAAAATAAGATTTTACTTCGTCCTGGTTATTGACGTTTACTCCAATACCTAGCATCATCGTAAAAAAATAGTTTCTAAATACTGTTTGTGTATCCTGTTTATGGGCGTGTGGTAGCAGGCAGTGAAAATTTAAGTATTATTGAATATAGTGGAAAGTGTAATCGTGATAAATTGGATAATATGTGGTATAAATTAGTATTGATGTGGCAAACCGGATTGCTGCAAGCTGGAGAAAACGTGACGCTTTTATAAGGTCAGTATCAATTTCTTGTTCTTACTTAAATTTATGCAGTTAATTGATTAGGTATGTGTATTTGAAAATGCATCACATAGTGATGAAATTAATTTCCTGAAAAGGGATTCTCCAAATCTAACTGAACCAATTAATGGTAAAGTTATAAATCTGGTTTAAACTCCCTATTGCAATTTATTAGCCTTCCTGTAATACTCGTCGTTATAAATATTGTTAAATACAAACTAAATATTTTTAATTTTATCAATCCAGTACTGTTGGTAAGGATACAAATATATTAACATATTGTTCATTATTGTATTGCAACAATTACATTATTAGTTAATATGCTACTAGTATAACTTCCTAACAAATTTCCCACGTTTATGACTTCAAATCGTAAACATTTTTTTAAAAGGAAACTTCTAAAGCAGTATTATTTTTGTGTTACGGACATAAGTTTGAAGCTTATAATGGTGGAAACATACATGTTTATTTTCATTATTCCAAATTATCTTCAACTGATTCACTATGATTTTTGAAGTCTGTCTTGTTCAGGATTGATGCTTTATATTTCTCAAAGAAACTAACCAGTGATATTTTTGAAATATTCTTAAATGCTGCAATTGATGATAAAACAATGGCTCTAATACTAATCTAGAAATGTGGCAGGTATTGTTATGAATTTTACTTTTTGGTTACTGATAGCTCGGATTAAGTGTACCAGTTAAGAAATTTGATTTAATTAATAATTAAGTGCTTCTATAGTTTTAGGGACACTCACTTATTGAATATTGAAGTAATAGCTAATATACTTAAAGCTAACAAATTAATATTGCAATTAAATTTAACTATTAGAGATCATTTAAAGTCTCCACAGACTTTGGATTTGATACTAATCAAATAGAAACCATTAAGATTATTATTATTAGCAAAAAATAATAGTGGCAACACACACCTACTCAAAATTGTAATAACATACTGTCACAGGCTACTTGCTTTAATTAAATACTTACATTCTTATATTCAATCATTAACAGTTTACATAGCTAGGTCTGCACTCAAAAAATGGCAAGGAAAGGAAGATAACAGCACCATTCCCCTTTTTCATCTTCCATCCCTGCCAGATGATAAATCTTTTGAAGAAAGTTACTGGGGATACATGCAACTAGTACAGGGCAAACAACAGAGTATTATTATTTTAGAATTCTGGGCTAGGCAATCCTAATGGAACTGTAGTTGCTGCAATATTAAAGATCATTGTGACTCTCACCAAGTTAAAGTATCTCTTTTAGCCCCACAGTTTCCATGACACTCAGAACGTTTCCAGCTTTTAGTGATTTGATTTCCTCTGGACATATTATATGTTATCCCAAATAAATACTCCGTTTGTGTATGAGAGGCCTACTTTCACATAGAAGGTGTTTTGGTGATTCACATCTGCAATTATAGATGCACTGGATACTGATATCTATTAGTGTCTCTTAATTTCATATGAAATTGGCATTTGTGAGTGAACAGAGCATAAAAAGATATGCAATTTGAAGCCGTAACAATTAATATTCAATTAATTAATTGATAAAATGGGATAATAGATAAAATTTATAAAAGAATAATAAACTATTAATGTAACAAATGCACACTTAGAGCGAAAGTGTGTATGGATGCAAACATCCATTTTAGTAGTTTTTGTGTGAATGAATAACAAATTATTCATTCACACAAAAACTACTGAACAGATTTGAATGAACTCTATTACTCATGTAGTTTATGACCTGGATTGAGACATAGGATATTATTTATTGCAAAAAAAATTGCGATCCTCTTTTAATCTCAAAAAACTAAAGTTTATGCAAACATAGTCATGGGCAATGGCTAGTGTTCTATAGTTATCACAAAATAAATGACAGCATCAACTGTAAACAAACTATCAATTACCAATTGCGGCTGTAATGAATTACCTATATTGGTAAGTTATGTTAACTGGTAACTCTCAGTTAACATAACGTATTGGCAAAGTGGCAACATTAATGAAAGAAGTTAATGAATCTCACTTTGATCCCATTCCAATGACGCGATAGCGAAACGAGCTATTTGACAAAAAGTCCAGAATGATGAGCATGAGTCTGTCTGGCACTCCAAGTTTGTATAGCTTATAAATTAATCCATATGACTTAGTCGAATGCTTTCGCCACGTCGAAGAAAAGCGCACCTGTTGGAATTGCGGAGGCTCAAAATAGATCACGGTAGTGGAGGATGTGTTCCGTTAGTTCACTCCCTGATGTGGTTCTGTGAAGAGAGGCAATATACAGGACGCGGCGGCCGTGACACGGAATACAGAAGGAACCTTGTGGAGGGCTTCATCTTAAACCGGAACCTCCGTATACACAATGACCCTGACCAGAATTAGACTTCTACCGATCCATAGCAGAATCCGGAAATAATGACCCCTGGGGTGCTGCCTACTGCGTTGCGAGTGGGTGTATTCGCCCGCCGAACGTTATTAACGGCATGAAGCTACTGGGCGGCTTCACGAACTGCTCGAGGGACACCATGGCTGCACTGCTTGATTCACTTTTGCCTGATGATGACCCGGCGGCGGACAGTCGTATCACCGAAATGTCCGTATTGGGGCTGCCCGCCGAAGATTCCGTAAATCTAGATAAGTCCCAGGTAGAGGGTATCATTCGGGCACTTCCCAACACCGCTGCAGGAACTGACTCGATTTCTGCTTACTCGTTCTGCCGAAGGCCGATCACCTTGTTGCATATATTAGGTAAGATTCTTGAACGTAGTATAATTGTCTGCGCTCCTTCCCTGTACCGTCATATTTCTAATGCTCAGCACTTTTTCACCCGTGGCCGTTCTACGTTTGCGGCATTGCAACTTATTAATAAAATCACTGTCAACAGTGCTGCTCAGAATGTACAGCTGATCTTTCTGCACATCTCGGGTGCATTTGTCAACGCGTGCTGGCCAATGATTCTGGTGAAGGCGAAGCAAGCAGGAAAAAAACCCGAACTTATAGAGAATCTTGGTAGACTACTTCACAAACGTAATGTACAGAGGCCGGCGCTAATTTTATTGACGAATGCCTACAGGACATGCAGCACCGTAGCGTTACCTGTGCTTGCGGGAGTTCTTGCTGACCTGGAGGTTGTTCGTGTGGGACGAATTGCGGAAGAGAGAGTCCAAATGGCCCCGAGGGAGCGCCGACAACTGCAGCGGAAAATCAGAGAGGAGGCCGTATCCGTTTGGCAGAAGCGATGGACACAGAGCGCCAATGGACGTGAGCTCTATAAATTCTTCCCGGACATTAGTATGAGGCTCTCCAACCACTGAATCGAACCGAATTACGAGGTCTCACAACTTTAACGGGGCATGGGTGTTCCAAACAGCGATTGAACCGCCTATCGTTTGTGCGAGTCAGCACTCAGCCCCTGTGGCGATGGAGAAGAAGATAGCCGGGATCATGCACTCTGGGAATGCTTACTTTATGAGGACGTTCGGAAGAAAATGCTAGGAAAGATCACAATCACAGAACCCGGACTAGTCTTTCATGGGAACCTCGTCAGTTGTAGAAGTAACTGGGATGCATTCTGCGAGTTTGCCCATTCTTGGCACTCCATTCGTGTTACTTACGAGTAGGACCGAACACCAGGAAGATGCCCGACGCGAAGTGCTGTGCTGTGACGTCTAGTCCCAGAAGGGGGAGTAGGAAAAATCAATAGAGACGGAAACAGAATAGAGCCACAGGCAAGTACCCCCGCGCTCTCCCAAGATTGGGTCCGTATACAAATGAAATGAAATGAAAAAACCTTTATTGGCCATCTTACACAATAAAAACAATAAAAATACTATAAATATAAACAAATATATATATACATTAAATACATATAATGACATAATCCTAAATAAATAAATAAAGAAACGCAGCGCAGCACTCCGAACGCACCCGCACCGCATCCGATAATGGTGTCGATTCTGCCATGACTCTCCAAACCCAAGACCAAACCCAACACCAGTCCCTTCCTATTATTTTGTATAGAGAATGACAAGGATACACTGCCGTCAAAGTCATATTCAGGCTTAGAGATTCATTTCAGAATCGACACCAATGTCAATATACGTAGTATCTTAAATACTTCGTACGAGTACGAGTAGTCTGTGCAATATGGTACCTAATCTATGCATTATGATTGATAACCTGCAATCTGTGGTGTGTTTTGTACTTTGTACCTTTCATTGTATGAAGTGGATGGATGCCACGTACCCATTGTCACGTTGGTTCGCAATAAGAGTGTCTCAATATCTCCGAGGAATCGTACAAGACGGCCCAAAATTAAATCGCAAGCCACACCGTGCCGGATACCTATTTCCTAATCTTTGCATGCAACATAATTTTTATTTTTTGGATTTGATTTTCGATTTAATGAAGGTTTTATGGCAAATATATGTGCATTACATACACGCACGCACCACATGCAAGCTTACAAACATACACGCACAAACACACACACATAAATAGACACCTACGCACACGCAGACACACCCACGCGCACACGCAGATACAGCCACGCACAAACATACACACACTCAAACACCCGTGTAGATACACACAAGTTGGTCATTATTAGCGTTAAATTAGAGTCATTAATTTAAGTATATATATCGTTTATTCTCTCGTGAAAAAAATATATATACAGGGTGGTCCCTGTAGTTTTCGTAGTAGGTATTTTGCAGTCTTTTTTTTGTGACATAATTGTCTTGAATTTTGTTTTAATAAAAAAATAACTTGGCTTCTTGCAATAACTTAAAGTTACTCAAAAAAGGCTTGAAAGTTGGAACTTTACTTTTTAGTAGGATTTACTCAAACATTCAACTTCAATTTAGAAGTACAAAAAGGAGTTTCCATAGGTTCTCGCTACGCACATTTTAAATCTTAGTGGTAAAACCGAAATTATTATAAAATTCAACATGCTAAAGTTATTTTACAGAAATTTCAATTAAATTTAATTTGAAATTACATTTTTAGGTTTAATTTACCATAACAATGAAAAAAGTAGATAAAATAATGTCTAATGCTTTAATGATTCAATGATTTTTAGCCTATCCGCCTTCAAAAGCCAATTACAACAAAAATAGGCTGATTAAGTTCAATTTTTTTTATGATTTTTGGTAGTTTAGAAGCATGCAGAGTTTTAAATTTTAGCCAGAAGCTATGAAAACTCCTTTTTGTATTTTTGTATTGAAGTTGAAGGTTGGAGTAAATCCTACTAAAGACTAAAGTTCCAACTTTCAAGCCTTTTTTGAGTAACTTTAAGTAATTGCAGGAAGTTGAGTTTTTTTTGTTATTAAAACAACATTCAAGACAGTTATGTCACAAAAAAAAGACTGCAAAATACCTACTACGAAAAAAGATAAGAATTGTAGAAATATCGCTGGCAGTATTCATTAAAAATACACAATAAAAATTATAATTCGAAAACTAAAAAAAAATCGCGAAATATACATGGGGTATTTTTGATTACCCCCAGGTGCGAGGAATCTAAAAAAAAATTGTTGACGACACTAGTTGGACCACCCTGTATATAAGAGCTTATTGAATACTAAAGTGTAGTATGAAAGTGATGACTGGCGGAGTGGGAGCCTGGTGATCTGTAAGATAGGTTTCACAACCTAGTGCAGACACAAGTCTCGGCAAAGGTTAAATTATTTGGTAATTATACTTTATACTTTATCATACAAGACTTTGTAACCCTTTCTGAGAGAAATAAATATATTATTATTAGGTAGGAAGGACCTGGTGGAGGGTTTGTTCGTTCATAATAAGATTGTTCGCGAAGAGAAAATCTTAAAGGCGGCTAGCGAGGGCGTGTTTGTAAAGTTTCCCCAGCGTTTTGAGAAGACTTATAGGACGGTAGCTATAGGGAAAGGCGCCGTCCTTACCGTTTCGTCCATGTCGGCTGCTAGCTGGTGGCTGTTAGTTTCAGTTTGATGGGTTTCTGGATCCCAATAACGACGGCCACTTTCCACTCTGCGGAAATATCGCGTTTGTCATAGCCGCGTCTAAGATCGCGATGATAAGGCAAAAGAGTTAGGCGGGTAAGTTCTTAAGGACCTTACTAGGCATTCCCTCTAACCCGGGGGCGCTACGCGGGCGCAATTTGCGGATTAACGGCCCGACTGATGTTGGTCGGGCATTGCATATTAAGTGTTTGCCTCCGAATTTCCCTTGCGCGATGTAGGCTTCCATACTTATTGATCGCAGCGCCGGTGGCGCCATCTCTTGAAGAGGCGAATAATTAAGTCCTCCATGTTGGTTATATGTGTGGCGTGCAGAAGTCGTGGCACATGTATATTATATATAGCTATTTGTAGAGCCACCATCAAGTTATTCTCAAGAAGCTTTTCGCATGTGTTTTAAGCATTGCATATCTCTTTATCCTTCTGTTGATACAAATTATTATTACCTTCATTTAATTTTTATTGAAACATTTCACATTAAACATTCATAATTAAAATAATTTTGTATTTGATATATTTACTAGAAAAAGTTTCAAGTTCAGTCTCACAAGAGTTAAATTGTTTGTGTAGATTTATAATTTCCTAATATGATTCTGGCAGAGCTGGATCGAAAAAATATTTTCAAGTTTTATTTCACGTTATAGATACTGGTGTCAACTCTAGAAGAATTCTCTTAATCTAAATTTGACAACAGTTTATTCTTGTCAGTCTTATTACAGAATGAAAAGGATGCACTGATGTTAAATTAAGAACTATTAGAAATATGAATATTCTAAAAAACAAGGAGAATTAAGGAAAGAAAAAGGGGTTGGTAAGTTTTTATACCAGTTCTTCTGAAACCAATGTCTCCAGCAGTAGATTTACGAACAATTACACTGGCTGGCTTTTAGACTTTAATATGTGTAGTACAAGCCTAATCTCAAATTTTTAATTCAATATGGTTCTTTAAATTTGTAGATAGTCAATTTATTATAATAAATGTTGGAAACCACATAGATCAACTCATACATAATATGGCTGATGGCTTTTCCATTTACAAGGGGCTTGTTATATCTCTAACATAACTAAGTATTGATCCGTTGCTGGGGAAATTAGAAACAAAGTACCATAACTATCTAGGGCAAAATACACAGCCCTAATTCTTTAAAAATGTGTTTATATGTTGTTGTCGTAGCACCTAGAATAAGTAATTGGAATAGGAGAGCAGTCTCGTCCCTACAGTGTACTGGTCTTAAAATACAATGCACTTAAATATACGAATACTCTGATCCAAATGAAAACTAGAAAGTGGGTAGTTCGGGCCTGCAACTTTGTCTGTGTGATCATAAGGAACTTCTTTTGGGGATCCTTACACCTGGCGATATTTAATATGTATATTATTTTCCTATATACCAAATTGCATCCAAATGTATTGTGCCATGTCAGTTTGATTGAGTAACAAACATCCGAATATACATACTTTCACCCAAACCCTAAGTTTAGTCCCATTTAGAGAGTCAGACTATACAGGTTGAAAAAAGTCGTATGCCTAATTATAATCCCTCAACTTACGTAATTTAATTATTTGAAAAGGGCGGTATTGTAATGAGTCGTCTTATCACTAATAATAGATCTGAATTGGGTGCCTCACACTCGCATCTAAAAATATCATCGTATCCATGTGAGTGCGGCACGACACGGCACTCGTGGCTCACTCCGGTTTGTTCGCGTGCGTTAGTAAAGAGGGGTGGTGTCGTGTCCAAGTGGTGGGGCAGCCGAACCCTTCGATGCGCCCTTCAACGACCCTCGACTCGAGCCACAATGACTTCGCCGGTTATGATCGACGCTGTCGTCACTCCTTCAGCTTTGTTTTACAGCACATATAACGCACTCAACTCGCTTGCCTGTATACCTACTTCGGAATTAATGATACCCCATTTTTAAGTCTAAAAACAACTTTGTGAATATCTACTCAAATTCCTACTCTTAGCAACTTATTGTGATGAATGCTCATTCCTGAATCCTAGATTCAAAACCAGACTGGTTGGACACGAGCGTATCATTATATTATTATGGTGCTCTGTTTTACAAAGCTTTTTGGTAAAAGAGTAAATATCAATAAATTTTACGTGTAACGTGTTTATTTTATTTAACTAGTATTATCACTGTAATTTTAGGAGGGTTTTTATTTTTGTTAAACAAGGTTTTTCACTCATCGCTAAAGCCAATAACCCCACGCAGCTGTGGTTTTCGTATGAAGTTCATTCACAGTTACACTCAAATTACCTGCTGACAGTTCAGTTTAATCATTAATTTTTGTTTTCTCTCATATTATAGGTACACACATTTTATTCATTAAAACTTGTTGTATATTATATTTGCGACCTTTATAATCTTGTAATCGAGCTGTGCATGTTCTCTGTTGCGGCCTTTTGTACTAGGGCTACAAACATTATTATCGTAAAAGAATACATACATAAAAACATTAGAATCTATAAATTATTCTATCTCTACTGAGGTTGTAAGTGCCTCAAGCGTGTTCCTCTTAAGACAGTTAATGCTAATAAACCATTCCATCGTCACACCTGAGTGATGCCATATTTGGCATTGAATCTGTGTAACATATTGTCCGGAAAAATAGTGACAGGTTGGCTGTAGTCTACAACAAGGTTCCGAAACTACTCTATTCCGCGATAAAGGCCTTCGCTATCTGCGCCGGTCAGTTAGCAGCTTATTCTACGATACATTTTTTTTTATTCAACTTACTTAAATATATATACATATATAGACTGTTATCTAGAACTACAGTGCCCGAAAACTAGCAATGAAAATAAAGCTGCATAACATATCGTCTTTTTCACGGAACCCTTTACCGACTTATTCCAAAACGCGGGCTTTAATTTAGTTTTGGTTTAAACCTAATGCTGTCTTTGTTTACTTTTTATCAAACAAAAGTGACCACATCAGTTTTCATCTAAGACTAATTTTAGTCCGTGTTTTGGAATAAGATGGTTAAAGTTTACTCAATTTTCTTGCGACCTTGTCGATCAAACGTGTTGTAAGTGTGAGCCCTAGCAATGTCGCTGGCAAGTAACCCGAGTCGCGTGTTACAGATGGGTGAGCGCGCGCGGCGAGCGGGCGACGCGCCTGCCGCGTCTCTCATGCGCTGCACGCTGAGGACGACCCAATACGCTATTTGTCGGTACGTATGCTTCTAATACCATCCACTATAATCTTTATTATATACCTATACTCCGCCAATCTTCTTCGCGGCAAGCAACGACCATTGACAAGGAAACCTGCGCAGTAGTTGCGCATAGGTCTTCCCCAAAGATCTCTACGTTGATCGTTCCTGAGCTGTCCACATCCAGCAGCCCGCGATCATCAGTCGATTGTCCTCCGCCTATTCCTCAACCATTGCCTATACTCATCAACACATAACAGTAGCCTCTGTTGGGAAACAGGCTTTCGCTTTGCCTATGGTCAGGATCACGTACGCCTATAACAGTGCAAACTGGTGGCTGCTAACTATTGCAGATTTAGCTGGGACCAACAGCTTAACACTGAAGAGCTTTCGATAGTAAATTCTTGGTCACTTAACCTTTGTCTGGCCATTGCGTTTCTTAACTTCCACAACACAAACGCAGACCCAACGGGCTAACCACAGCGCGGACGCCGTTCAAAATAAATTCGTTTATGCCTTATCTATGGTGATACCCATAGTAAAGCAAGTAACTCGCTCGAACACAGATGAATGCGACAAACATGTGCTACGCTACGCTTACACTCAACTGCCACCACTTCAATTTACTCGTCTCGGGATACCTCCTGGGACCGCCTTTATGTAACAATGCGTGTAACTTATCTTAACATACTCAACACCGACAAAACGTCTCGGTCGGGAAATAAGTATAACATATCCACTCTGTAAATCAATGAGTTACTCATTACTATCGTACTAATATAATAAATGCAAAAGTATGATAGTCTTACACGCTAAAATGACTGCCCGATTTTGGATGAAATTTGGCATATATGTATGTAGTTCGTCATCCAGATTGACATATAGCATACTTTTTATCCCAGAAAATGCCAGTTATATTATGTTTCCTGTGGGATTCTCGAAAAACTAACTTTGTCGCGGGCGGAAGCTAGTAAAATAATAAACTGAGGTATAGTTGTGTTACTTATCGCTTTCTGCGGTCCCTTTCATTTCATATTTGGGTAAGAGATAAGTTTTCATAGTTGGAGGAGCTCCTCAAGCAACCTCTCGCTCCAAAGGTGCGGGCGGCGGGCGCTCGTAATTTTGACAAGAATGTGCCTGCTGCCCGCACCTCTCATGGCCTCCGTTCTCGTCCTCTCCCACACCCTGTACCCCGCAGGCGAGGACTCAGTTAAGAGATGTACCTATACACATAGACACTTTTTTAAGGTTTCATTGAAGGGAATAGCGGAAACAGAATGTAAGACAGTAGGCCCCCCTCTTTAATCGTGACAAATTTCTGTTATCTCTAACTTGAATCAATTTTGAGTCTTAATCTAAAGTTTCTTTTCTATTAAATATCTTTAGGTTTATAAGTCAAGTAGTTAAATGCTTAAAAAAATATAACAAATCACCACAAGATATTAACGTTGTAAAGAACCTCCTCTTTTCTTGCCTCAAGTCGTTTCGAAAGGAAAAGAATTAAAGAATGTTTTATGTATCTGAGCATTTTAGCAAAAGCTCGTCTTCGGAGAAACACCAACTAAATTCGTAATGCAATGCTCGTCGAAGGAACCACGATATGAAAAAGAATAAGATTTATGCAATAAACAAAACAAAAAGATTTAAATTTTATTGATATTAGAAAATTTTAATTATATTACTTAAATAGGTTATTTATTTCAGTACATTTAACCACGACCACGGCATTGAGGTGGTTTAAGCGGGAGCATCAAAACTCAAGCTAGTGTACCTATCTATAAATGGATATAGGATATGGACGTGGTCAGCTTATACATAGGGAGCATCCAAACTTAGTTTGTTTCGTTTAGAAGTAGGTGTATCCATACAATTGCCAGGCGGCCACTCGTCGAGGAAGTCAGTGGTGGGATATCCATCGCTATCCACGCAGTAGAACACGTTTCCAACGTTCTGGTTAGGCACGTAGTTGCCGTTCGGTTGGCAGTTCTCTGTCACTGTCATACCTCGCTCCGGGAAGTATAACATCGTGTCACGGGCGCAATCTGTGTTAAATGAAATGAATTGAAATGAAATTCAGGAATGAGGATAGTTTTTCAATCACTACATAAGATAATTCTGATATTGTATTGTACCAACACATTGAACATATTTTATCATTCATTGTAATATATTTTTTGAGTTTCCGTATTTAAAAGAGTGACAAATAGAAAATTTTTCCTTCCTCCTAATTAATATGCCTAGACAGCAGAAACTGTCAAATATCTGAACTAAATTGGTAATTGCCAGAATTTTCGCTACCGTACAAATAAAGCCGTATTAAAAATAAATAGGGGATGGACTGACTACTTACTTGTCACTAGATTTAAAGTAGGCAACATCTTGGGAATAATAATGCCAAATGAGAAGTCTTAGGTTTCGCTAATTTAATTAAACGATTATATTTAGAATTCTCATTCTTCCGAACCATTGATGCTCTGAAGAAGCGCTATATGATGGGAATCTTTATATATGTATATAATTCTTCTGTGAGTGTGTATGTCACTGAACTTCTCTTAAACGACTGGACCGATTTTGATGAAATTTTTTGTGTGTGTTCAAGGGGATCTGAGAATGGTTTAGATTCACAATTTTGTCCGCTGGACAATGTTTTTTTAATTATTTTTTTTTATGGCGGTACGAAATTCGCTGGGTCAGCTAGTTTTTATATAAATGTTTGCAGTCTCGGAATGGAATCTTTTGGACTCCCGGAGGCTCTGGTGCATAGAACACACGGCTGACGCGTAGCATTACGGCACTAATGCTCCCCAACCAGAATATTCAAAATTTTCTCAACAAACAATACAATAGGTCATTAAAGCCGACTCAAAATACACATCTACCTATGTCGTTTTACGTATTACTTTCACTTGTATTATTAGAAGTTGAAACAACAACTTGACCATGCGCGCTGATTTGCACTCACACTTTGAAAAGATACAAAATAATTTTAAGCTCTTCTCAGTTTGAATTGAACCATTACGACAATTAAGGCAAGTAGTTATGATAGCATTCCTATTATTAACAACAATATTGTGTAATCTTTTGTGAATCAGGGTGAGCAAGTTGGACACGTTCGTAACCAAAAATGGCTAACGGTCGCCTGCCCACTGTCCAAATTACTGACCAACAAGCGAAAAAACATAGAAAGAATCACGTACTACTAAAAATACAAATTAAAATATCTATGTAGTTTAAATAATACGTCTTTGGAACATGTTCTATTGGACCTAACGGATCGGTTCTGCAGTAGTGTGCATGTTGATATTAAGATGGTTTGATTTGTCTTTGACATATTTTTTTAGAAAAACACGCTCTCCTTTGCTACAATGCAAAATATGGAGAGGAATAAATATTTAACGCAAAAAAGCATTGGAAAAAATTCTGAACACACAATCAAGGTTCGTATTTAGAAAGTTCCGGAAATCACTTGGTAAATTATTGCAGATTGCAAAATAATAAATGAACTAATGGTATGGTCGAAACGTGTAGAAGAAACAAATGCAACTACTTCGGACTAATATCATGTCATCAAAACAGATACAATATTATTTAAATCTGTCAATATTTAGGCAAATTTTGCTTGAGATTTTATATCAGTTTGTGTCGACTTAATGTGTCGATGATTGAGCACCGAAATCAGACTCGACATCGCAAGAAATATTTTATTAAAAGAGACTTGTCTATATATGGCTTCATTGGTGAAAGTGGGTGTTGCAATTCAAATGTGAATATCAATTGAACAGTTTTTTTTTCTCAAAGCGAGATTTCTTTTTATCAAATAGAAAACAATTCGACTATATAATTATCTAGAATTCCACACGTTTCGTGTTATCGTAGTGTAATGGAACTACGTGTTTGGGATTGTAACTTCATTACAAATTGCAAACTGCAATCATGCACGAGTTGTACTTTATTAGATGTAACCTTAGATTAAAAAAATAAATAAAAAACCCTTTTTGTTTTAATCTAAGGATGTAACTCGTGATTAATCAATACCTAACCATTTTTTTTAATAAGTAGATAATTTTAAACATAAACCCTAACTAAAATAACATAACTTTAAAAAAACTTTAAGTTTGAAACAAATCCAAAGACGCAATACTAAGTTTTATACAAATATTACTCCTTTTCTCACCCTACCCGCTATCGAGTCCGCCGAATCTAATTGAACCACCCAAAGAAACACGAGTAATAATTTATTGTACATACGTACAATTAAATTTAAACAACAGTTTTGTCAACATTCTCAAATTAAGTATAACATAGTTGGTCAACGCAGTTCTGACTGAACAATGCTTAATTTACATAATGAAAGCATAGTGTAAAATATTTTCGTTTCCGTGCGATAAACGGTTAAATGTCGCGATCTCCGCATTCCAAGAGTACCTACTTATAGTGGGATGAGTGGAAATCTTATGGCTAGGGTTGTTCAGAGGTAGTTTATTTTATATTTTGTAATATATGTATTTTCAGGCTATAGCAATCTGATATTTAAACTTTTGACAAATCGAGTGAAGCAGACATGAATATCATAATTTGTGTAATTTTTTACAATATTAATTTTAATGTGGTGTAACTTATTATCCCAGTTATAAACGAGATAAAGCCATAAAATTTTCTATGGTGCATAAAGAAAAAGTTTTATTTACATAAGCTTTCTACACAATTTCGTCAATGAAAGCACAATGTAAAGAGAAATCAGCTAGTGGCAGCCCTGAGGCATGTGATATCGGGAACAGGGTCACGGCCAACCGGTCGCCGCCGCCGTGACACAATGCGAATGTGCCGAGCTTTACAATCCTAATGGTCTGCCGATTGCCCTCATCTCGCTACAGTAAAGCATCCGTTTGTAAGCTAAGCTGCGGATCGTCATCATCACCGACTTATTAATGTACCCACTGCTGGGGCACAGGCCACATGGAATAAGGAGATTGGGCCATGACCCGGTGCCCATTGGTGGGTGCTAACGACAGCATATGCAGCCAGAACCAACGGCTTAACGTGCCTTCCGAAGCACGGAAGAGCTCGAGATAATAAGTTTTGGTTTCCCATCCAATGACCGACCATTGCGAAAGTTGCCGCCTAACTTTCACGATGGCAAGCCTATGCTTGCTCGTTGCAGATAGACGGATCGATATAGCGAAAACTATAAGGGTACCTTGATCGGAACCCTTAAAAAATAATAATAAAAAATACAGTCTTATAATAAAATACCAATTTAAGTAATACTCACTGCAATTCATTCCAGTCATTTCACTTGAAACGGTCTGCCATGATCCCAGAATCTCACCATCACGTCCCGTGCAGTACGCACTGGCAACAGAAAATCCCACAGTTATTAAATTTAATCGAGTAACTAATAAGAAGTATTTTGTTGTCAACAGTTGTTGATCACGACAGCGGTTGTTGTCATCATTATTTTTTGTAAGCCTTTGTTCACACGAGCGCTTTTTCAATGTGCTATAATCTCTTACTGCTTGTATTTTCAACTTTACGTCTAATGCAGCAAACTGTTCAAGCACTAGCACTACGGCACCCCGTGAACGCTCTTACAGTTTTTTAATTAAATGACCAAAATATTTATATGTACCTTATATCATAAATAATGTGAAAACAATAAGTTACTGAGTTAGTATTCCATTGTAAAGTTATGTAACAATGCTAATGTTACTTACATTCCATTTCTAATTTGGAAGGGTCCATAGCTGCCGTCATAGTCGCAAAAGGTGACGGGATTCCCTAAGAAGCTGGTGCCGTGTTCCATTTGTTCCCGTTGAATCGTAGCTATGGCGTGGACAACGCTTTCACATTGACGTAAATACTGTGTACCTACCAACGATGATCTATCTGAAAATATAAGTCTAGTCAAGTTTTAACCAAATGCTGGTTTAGATTAGACAGACATATCTATCTAACCGCTACTATTTAACAGGTGTGAAGGAGAAATCACAATCACTTCTATCGAGTGGATTGCCCTCTCCTGTGACGTCAAACTAGCATCAATGAAAGCAGCTAGCATCTTTCCAGCTCAATGGAATACGTACGGCATACACAACTCTATTTAGGTCGGTTCTAGAATCAATATTCTAATAGAGCTGCAGCCTGAATCATCTTTTATATTCAAATATTATAGAACTTCAGTATTCTGACCTTTGTTGTTAATGTGCAAAGAAAACTTATTTGAACAGGTGCATTACTATTATTTGTCATCTGTCCTTACTCGCTACAATTGGCTTTGGTCGTGAACCGAGCTATATTGAATATTTTTATTAATACGAGTGTCCTGTGCTCTAACCTTCTAATAACAATACTACATTTCATGGATGATATCCAACAAACAGCATAATTTAATAAAATATTGTAAGATATTTTGATCTGTTTTTCCGTACCGTACTACCGTATTTTCTAATTTAATTAGACTGCAATCGTGTGACCACTAAATTTGGCTCAAAAGGGTTTAAAAAGTATAAAATATTTCACGATTATCGCAGCTACTTTATTACAATGCAATACACATAACAATACTTACAACATGGAAGTTGTCTCATATCTGCTTCAGGTACTGGTCCCGCGGTTGGCTGCCCGGTTCTGGGCTCCGCACACCAACACATACCGTTGTCACATTGTAGAGGCTCATAATCCCCCGTTCGTGTGCAATGAAGAGTAACACTTCTCTTTTCAGTCGCTTCCAATTCCGCCCGCCGTCTGCTGCATGCTGTAAACAATAATCTTTTGGCTGTCCCATTTTGCACTCGACTCCCATCTATACGAGTACATATAATAAAAAAAAACGAGCGAGTCTTACAGTAGTCGCGTATGATGTGTAACATTTGAAACCTCATCTTATATTAGTAAAAAAAGAAATATAACCTACTACAAAAGGAATAAGCCATTTGAACATTATGTTCTAAAATCAAATCAAATAGCGCGCGCTTTTGCGGCTTCCTGTTACTCACTTCCGACCCATTTCACGAAATCACTCTCACAAATTGCAGGAAAGCGAGAGGAAAGATGTTACACATCAAAATGGTAGGAAAGTCAAAACTGTACATTGAATATTTTTTTAAAAGAATACTTGGGGTGTGATCTACAATTGATACCGAAGCCAAAAATATAGTTTTTAGAATTTTTGTCTGTTTGTATGTCCGGGATAAAATCAAAAAGTACTGCATGGATTTACTTCAAATTTGGCAAGAATATTATTAAGAAGTCGGGTCAACATATAGGCTACATAATTATCACGCTATCACCTACGGGGAACGAGTAGTGAACCTTTATTTCGAACTAACTCCACGCGTACGAAGTCGCGGGTGCCGCTTGTATTTACATGTTTTTATAATTCATCTACTTTCTCGTATACAATATTTATATATGGATCAAGTATTATAAATATCCTAGGATTCCTAGGTGCATAAGCAATAGGCACCTACACAGCCAAAGTAAATGGTATTGTAATAATTGCTTATTAATTGGTATTTTATTATTACTCTAAAGAGTGCTGGCGCCTGAGGCCAGCGCAGTGTGTCAAAGAGAATTCATAGTCTATAGATTTTTGAGCTGTATGCAGTAGTTGACAGTTTTGACATAAAGTTTTGTTTGATATTTTTTTTACACGTGAAATTATTGTATTAATTTATCAATGAATACATATTTGTAATATTTATTGTAATGTAAATTTCGTAGTCGCGTATGTCGAAATTGTGCTTATGTTTTATTTTATGCTACAACAATGCCCATTAAATAATTTGGATTGTGAACGAACGTAACAGTATCTTGTGTTTATAAATGTTCCGCTATAAAAACTGTCACCGTAGATCAGAAAACGACATGCCGGTCCAGGTATATTAAATGCTTTTTACTATCAGCTATTACCAGGTAGATTACAAAATACGTATCATTACCAATAATATGGTTAAGTTTATAAGTAATGCATAAGTAAGTGATATATTTACCGCAAGTCATTTGACTGGCGTCTGCCCTCCACATTTGTCCAAATATTCTGGTCCCATTTTCATTGGAGCAGAAACACCTGTATTGTTCAATTACAAATATGAAAAGATGCACTAAACGAAGAGTTCAATGTTGTCGTTTATTCTTTTCAGTCGTTATTGGGATGATGAAATCATTATAATATGTATGTATCTATATATCGTTTTTATTTCTTTATTACGTAGGTACATTTCTTGATGACTAACATTATTTAATTCATTTAACCTCTTTCATTTGAATTAAATGAATAAATGGTAATGATAATTTCTACACTAATTAATAATGGGGAAGCAACATATTCAGAACGATATATCGTCATCATCATCATCATCATCGACCCATGCTCATCCACTGCTGGACATAGGTCTCCCCTAATGCACACCACTGCTCCCTCCTAAATGATAAACATATGTTGATATTGCGTACTTATAAGAATTTAACTTAGGTTTTAAATTATTCAAAAAAGATCATTATTTTTTTATTAATTAGGTATACTTCACAAATATACATAAAACTAAAAATCTACATTTTTTTGTACGTTGAGTTGATTTATAAAAGACGTCTTATTCTCATCACTTTTGCCTAAAGTTTACGCGAAATCATATAGGTAGTCAGTATATTATATTAGCACTTTAAAGAATTTACCTTCCTGTAAACGTATCCCCCTTGCATTGTACTGGACCGTAAGTACCATCAGGTAGACAATTTGCAGGAGGATTACATCCAGTCGTTGGAGGTATCTCGCCTGACAACAATAACACAAAAAACTCTTACAAAACTAAACAGTCTGGTTAGTTTGAAAGTTTCTATCTATATAACTAATTTTAGCCACAGTTTTTTCCTTTTTGTTGTCAAATTCTTCAATTTTGAACTTGATCGTGCAAAGCATATTATGATTTATGACTAATTCCGTATGACATAGATATGTGCAGATATACTATAGTGAGACGTCACGCTATGAGTATAATTATCGCATTTAATTTAATAATTCGACATAAAAACGATATATGTATTACATTACTCACCAGGGGATTGTTGGCAGCTTGGGCAACAATTATATATATGGCTATTAGGAACTAATTGCTCTGCCATCCAGCAATCGTTTTCGGAAAAATCAGTAACACATTTTTGCGCTATCTGACACTGCTGCCCTATCCCACTGCCGACTAAAAAGAATAAGATTTGTAGCAATAAAAACATATTAATAAGCAAACTTTTTGAGCTTATTCACTCATCGATTAATAATGACACAATGCATATCAAGTAATTACCTTCTACTGGTTAAAACCGTTATCTGTGAAATCTTATCTCCATAAACAATTTTTTACCATACGTTATCATTTTATTATAAAGAAGTAACATAATAGAGAGTGTAACATTATATTTAGGCAAATTATTTCATAATCGTTATAAATATTAGTGAATTTTAGATTAAATAGTTTATTGTAGCGTTCGGTCCATATACCAGTATATTATTAGCGAAGACTTGCTATTTGAATTCGCATCATTTAAGTTAGGTCTCTAATAAATACATAGCATCGTTATCAGTACTATCGCTATCTCAAGCTGAATTACACAGAGAACAATCAGTTTGGATGGCGCGCGCGGCAGTGCCTGTCCCCAGCGCATTACACCTGCGCTAGTGCGTACTTTGCGCACACTTATCGCGTTTATCATTCTTCTACAATCGCGTCCTATTTATTATTTCTACCTCAGGAGACGTTCAGTTATTTACATTGAATAATTCCTATTTCAGATTGCATTAAAGCGGGCTTACCCGGATAGCATGGAGGAGTGCAAGAAACGACATTCAGGCACAAAAGTTTCCAAAATCGCAAATATATTTCAAGGAATGCCGTCAAAAGAGGAAGAAGAGATGCGCGGAAGTGACGTTACTGTTGTAAGGACTGAGAGCCATTTGGCACGCTTCAATACTGCAAGGGCTCTATTTGAAAAATTAGGAGAAGAAAATCGTGGTTTTAGGATTGAGAAGTCTCCATCAGCGGCAGCGAGTTTTGCTGGCACTAGAGGCGTCCCACCCCCGGCGCCGGCGCGGTCTCGCTCCAGTTCCGCTGGTTCCGTGAGCCCACCACGGCGCATTATAACACCGACGCCTGTAGCACCTACAATCAACGGTGACCGCCTTGCGAATGGTGGACAACAGCCACCTAAGCCTGCTAAACCCAGTGTTTTACCGAAACCGGAAAAACCAGACAGACGTTTAAATAAAGAGCTTATAGAAAAGCAAAGAAATTGGACTGCTCATTTTAATAAAACGCGCCCGTCTCGCCATGACCAAGAAGCGAAGTCGGATTCTAGATATCAAGATAGAAAATCACCTGAAGTAACTGATAACTATGTTGTTCCGTCGAGAGTGTACTCCCCACCACTATCACCGTGCGCTGGTGACTCTCAAGTGGAACGACCGACAACTCTCCCTTCTAGTTTAATTAATCGTGTTTTACCTAGTGCGAAATCTCCTAGTCCTGTGAAAACAGTTCCCCCTGTGTCACCTTCCTTTAGATCTAATAATTCAGTATCACCCACCGTCAAGTCTGATATACCATCTCCCGCTGCAAGAAGAGATAACATAATATCTCCAGCGAAAAGTAGCATAGATAGTATCTTACCACAAGTTACAACAAAAGTATACCCGAAAGCTCGATCATCGCTATCTCCAGAGATCGAAAATGATGATTCGCCCAAAGAAAAGGATGGTTCTATTTCTCCCAATATGGCTGATAATTTACAGTCAGCAAGTACTGTGGTCAAACCAAATGAAAGAATATCACCTGCAACCACGCCGCATGCGCCATCTGCGATAGATCCCGCCCCTAGATCAAAAAAATCACCACCGTCTCCCCCACCGAGGTCACCAAAATCTCCATTACTTCTTGTATCCCAAGAAGATATAGAAGACACCGACCGAGAACATTCTAAGTCACCATCACCCGAAGAGAATGGGCTCAGGCTATCATCAGACAACTTCACTGAATGTATTGAAGATTCGAATTATTCTGGTCGTGCTTTAACCCCAAAATCGCCTACTCCATCTGCTAATTATGAGGAAGAAGAAGGTAAATCGGGTAGCGAACGTGATCTTCCTACATCACTTAGTCCAGAAAATGGCGAAAATATCAAAACATCACCAAAACCGTCAGATACCACAAGCTTAGAAGATGACGGATACGAAGCTGTAAACTATGACGCTGAATGGGAGGAAAAATCAAAACGGCGTTCATCGACGCCGGAATCGCCTGCAGGCACTGCAGACGTGGACCATGGAATACGTTCTCCGCTTGCATCACCTCTCGCTTCTCCTGTGCATCACCACGTTTACTCATCTACTCCGCCATCGGTTCACACTTCACCTTCGCCGCGTAAGTATTAAACTTGTTTGTTTTAATTACAAGTGTATATTCGTTATAAAGTTATAGATAGAGTGCCTTTCTTAGAAGTCTACACAATTTCTTATCTAGTTTGTCTACTTTATCTTTACAAAGAAATATTTTAAAAGCCCGAATAATAAAAAAACGGGCATACGAAAATATAATCATTGCAAGTCTTTATAATAAGTTTTTTTTTTACTATACTGTTTATCTAGTCATCAAATTGACGGCCAACTCTTCGAAGAGTTAGTTAATTTGTAATCGTGGGAAGTGTATTATCCTAAGAAGTTTAGTGGGCGGTGACTGACGTACGTTTGGCGGTCTCGTGGTCGACGGGTTCAATGTAATATTGAGGAAGTCAAGGTATTTGAGTCGTTGAGAGTTGCGAGTCGATCCCGATTTAGATGCTCCGGCGGCGCCGCCTCCGCCGTCGCGACGCAGTAACCCGAGCGACATCGTCCTGCGCGCATTGCGCTCCTTTTCATTCATCCTTTATTTCGCATCATTAACTGGGACATCCGTTCCAGGGACATAAGATGTGTTACTACTGAATCCGTGTCTTCTTTGCATTCGTTACGGTTTTACATTGATACTAAAGTGTGTGTGTGTGTGTGATTGGTTAGAGTTATAAGTTTCTTCAATATGTTAACAACAACATCAACATAAACATTTCGATAGGTTATAACTTTTTGAGCGTGTTTCTTTCATAAACTCTTAATTGAATTACTGTAGAAAACTGTATAATTTTGGCTTCATCATGATTTAACGTTGTCCTTCTTTGCTCCTGACATGGAAAACATTGAATACTCCATTCTCTTTTACTTTGTTTTATTCTGTCTGGATGACATTATAATTAGCATTGGATCCCTGATCCCTTACAAATAATAGAATTACTTTGATACAAGAACATATATGTGTCAAGACTATGCTTCATAATACTTATACTCTTCGGCTTTACTCTCGCTCAAAATATTTGACCTCTATAGTTTAAATTGAAACGCGACTGCGTTGTAAAAATATTTAGGCAGGTATTTCTGGAGCTACACAAATTCAGTGTCTGTAGTTATGTTGCCAACTTGTTATCAGTGACTGTGTTTGTTTACAAAGACTCCAGCTCCGGTGTACCGGTGGACAGAGATCTTGTAATCTTTCACTGTAAATATGATTTATGTGTATTTGTCCGAGTACGATTGCTGCGGTGTTTCTAAACTAAGCGTGTGAGTTTATGTTAAATGCGATTTTGTCATTATGAATCCGATGTGAATTCGAACAAAATACGACGATTCGAGTTGCAAGTGCGCGTGAGTGTTCGAAGTGGTCCCGTCGTTCGTCGATGGCGCGGTGATGCACCGGGCGGGCGGGCACCGGGGCGCTCGCTCAACATGCGCCTCTGCGGATGCTGCCTCGGTTAGTTTCCTCATTTTCGCAAATAGCGTTTCTTTGCACGCTACCAACGCGAGAGCGTTTTACGTCTTCCTAACTAACCCAACACATGGCCAGTTCGTCGGACAGTTAACCCATTTACAACAATCGTATAACCGAGTTATTTCCCGCAACGATTTGAACTATTTTTTTATGGGCTACCTACTACTATGCTAGTGTTACTGATATTGCATTGTCAAGTAACTTAATACCTTTCTGTTGAAATGAAAATCAACTGTAGATCATGTGTCTATCAAGTCATGATACTTACTAGACGAAACTATTTATTAATATAGCAATGAGTGTTACGTTAGCGTACTACTCTATTCAAACTTCAGTAAAACATAATGCGTTTTACATTGATGTATATTTTGATGGGTATTGGCAATTTGAACAGAAGCGTGGGGAGATCCACTTGACTAATATCGACCGGTCGTCGGTCATTGCCTATTTAGGAAGGTCGTCTTTGTTAATCTCGTCCAATTGCTTATTCCCAACAAGTACCGAATGGTACAGGTTTACCAAGTTGGACATAAAAGGCCGAAACATATGTTTTTCATTAGATTTCATTAATCATTATTAAGCTAGTGGAAACACACCATTATGAAAAACAGGTATTGTTAATAAACATTGTATCATATACTTTATTAAATACAGGACTAATGCCTTAAAATAGAATATATAAATTATGTCAGTATCAATAAATAAATATCATATTGATTACCCAATCATAATTTTTTAGGTGCGTATCAAAGTAGCTAGTTGAATTAAGTTCATATTGATAGAATTAGTCTATATTATACCTAATAATCGATAGGTGTTAGAGCTTTATTAGCACAATATCAGGGGTTTTTTAAGTGGTCGTTTGGCAGGTAGATAGATAGTTTTTTGATTAGTAAGATCTTCTACGTCCATTGATTTATTAAAGTTGATCGCAGTTTACCGCCAGCTGTCTTTGACTCTATTTAAATAAAAACTGACTTTAAAATACTTAGAAAACAGTCTTAAGAACGTAGTACAAAGTAACATTATATGTCATGTTTATTGTTTTCAACTATTTGTTTCTTAGGTTTTCACGCACATCACTCATTAAATAAAAGTAGTTTTAACGGGTTAATGCACGAAACTTTATTTATTTATTGACGTTTATTTATTTGTTTTCAACTAATTTTAAGATTGATATCAATTACTGAACTAATATTTAAAGTTTGCTAATCGGAAGATGTATAGGTTTTAAAAAGGCTATCATAGTTCGTTTTTTCACTTATTTAGGCAGTATAATTACCGGTGGTTTCGCCAGTTGGCCGTCAGCTTTATAAGTGCAACCTAGTTTCTAACTCTTCCGAGGCGAGTGTGCCCGAGCGTTAATTACTAAAGTGGACTCGACTACTGTGCTGATCTCTTTGTGTCGGGATAGCGTGCGTGACTGTTCCATGCAATGATTATTGCAAATTCATGCTTTGCATAGGCTGCTATAAATCTTGAATGCTTCGGCGTTCAAGCGTCTATGGATTAACGAAAGTAAAACATACTATAAGTAAATCGCTTAGCTGAGACCTCGCCTGCGGGGTACAGGGTGTGGGGGAGGACGAGAACGGGGACCGTGGAAGGTGCGGGCGGCGGGCGCATGAAATTTTGACAAGAATGTGCCTGCCGCCCGCACCTCTCACGGCCCCGTTTTCATCCTCCCCCACAACGTTTAACACGCAGGCGAGGACTCAGTTAAACGGTCTACCTATAAATGTTTACTTAAAAAAATATTTTATTAAACAGATATATTGGTTTGGTGCAAACAAGGCCTTGAAAATGATACTCTTGCATGTGAAATGATAATATTATTTTATGCCTAATAAATAAAGGTACTGTCAATCGCTAACTTAATTTCAACTGCAGTCAACCACATCAGGTTACCACAAAGTGTCAAATATTTTCAATACATTAGGATGCTGCGCAAATGTAGACACTTTGTTACCGACACGGCACACCATCACAGGAAAACGTATTTGCTGTGTCCTGTAACATCATTGAACACAGTCGCTGGTTGCTACTCCTGGGTGTCGATTCTGCTAACCTAATGTAAAAATCATGTCTCAATAGTGGTTTAATAGTATTGCTTTTTGATAGTGCTTTTTACTAAAATATAAAATAATGAATGAATATAGATTCTAATGAAAAAAATAGTAAAAGTGTAAGGAAATTTGTTAATGTTGCTTGATCTTCAGCTGACGACTCTTAGTTTCCAGTTAGCGACATATCAGACTGTCCTTTTAATTCTTTAAAAAGCATGATAACGACAGACTGTTGTCAAGTTTACATATAGCAAATACGAATAAAGTGCCGGCATAAAGTCTAAGCTACTGGACTCAAAAAAAGTTGCGCAGTGAGTGACTGATTTCATACTGGTTCTATAGAAATCAAATATTCATTGGTAGCTTCTATCCAACACAAGACACAAAAATGTCCACGTTTGCGCAGCGCCCTAAGAGGGGAGGCGGGCAATGTTTTTACCATACAAACGTTCTCAACTGATTACTCCTTGATTTTCATAACCAAAGAATTGATTTTATACATAAAATATAATTTAACTCATTCTATGCTCCTATGTCTTCCTTTTTTCGATAATATGACGTGTTTCAAAGAAACTAGAAACCCTCAAAAATATCAAATATACACAAATCAACACTAAAGACGTCTAGTGTTTAGATTAAATAAGCATTTCCACAAAAGCAAAACATAGAGGCCTAGTATAACTACTTGTTAGGGTAAAATTTATTTAACATGTATCTTATTTTCAATTCTTATCGTCGAGAGCCAAACCTCGAATATTGCAATTTTTATACGCAATTTTCAGCGTTAACTAATGTTGGCCCTATCGCATGGTATTTGCCAATGCGTGATAGCAATTTAGTTTTTTCAAATACTTATTTCTCAAATGTCTCAGCTCGCGTCCGCTATTAAAAGACTATATCGAACACGTTTTGATTAAATAAATTTAAAATGAAAATTAGTATATTCTGATGTGTTGCTTGTACTATTTAATGCATGGTGATTATATTACTAAAACATTCATAATATCACCCTTAAGGCAGGGGTTCGCAGAAAGTACATAGAAAAAAAATTTTTTTACTCAGCTACACCAGCGGGAAAGAAATTTTATTAAAAATATACCTTAAAACACGAAAAAATATATATATTAATATACGATAACTAAATATTTTTAAAATATCATATATGGTTGGGTTTTCGAACTACTGACTCCCTGGGCTAAACTTTTCGTGATTTTGCTCTGGCTCATTGTTTCTCCCGAAATGGTGTCAATAGCAGCCTACACTCACTTCCACCCTATTTCTAAAGAGGGTGACCAATCTGACCTTCAAATTCCCAATTCGTTTATCTCACTCACCGTTGGTCTGAAATCGTCAAAAAAAAGCCTCACCATTAATCTCGACGGTTTCAGCCCTTGCAGTGATCGTCAAGGCGTTTAACAGGATCAGGGCGTAAAAAAGTCTGGCATAGAACGCTTTTATCGAAGTTGTTAACTTACGGGCTTCCTGAGGGGCTGTGCAAGA